CCAAGAAAAATATGAAGTTCAGGATCATCTCACCAGAGGGTACTAGTGTATTTAATTAAAATCCAACGCCAACAGCTGATTCATTTATTACTTGAAACAGAATATTGCCATTAGTTGGTAGACCATCTCAACAGATAGCACCACGTTTTTGGGAGGTTTAGTAGTCAATGGTATTATCTAAAGGTCAATTTATAGGTAATTATGGGTTAAATTTTCGTCGGGCCGTCGAGGGAACACTCGCATTGAATTTGCATTGCTAAATTTGGAAGTGGAGTTAAATTTATTTAAATGTATTAAAACTGTCCTTGCAATCGTAATATTGTTATGGTTGTTTAGGGAAGACAGCGTCGTGAGTACCTCTTGACCTTTGATACTGCAAGCTGACTTCTTAATTGTTAAATTAAGCATATTTTGACTTTTACTTTCTCCCCGTATACACAGCATATGAAGAAAGTATTATTTTCACAAAATGGTACAACCCCAATGCTGTATTGACGGTTTAAAATTTATTGCAACTTTTGTGATTTTACTTATAAAATATCATAGTTACTTCCACCTTTTCACCATAAGACATCCCATCTATATTGATCAGCTGTCGCCAATTTTTTACTAAAAAAGAATGTAGTTGTGTGAGCCAGTCAAAGATTGCGCTAGAGTCTAAAACTCTATTTTGTACCTTATTTTTTGTTACTGACAAAGCTTCTGGGTCACAACAGTTGTTATAGCTCATAATAAGTCATTCCATCAGTTTGACTTGGTAAAAACCATCGTGTAATCGGCAGAAATCAGTAATTTAGATCAGCGCAATCTGTAGGTGGCTCACATCAACTAAGACAAATTTGATTAAAAACCTGGCTACAACTTTAACATGGGGATGGAATGTCTAAAAGGATTCACTATAAGGGTTGATGACAAGCCGATATGAGAAAGTATTTGTCAGTTGTCTGGTACCATTGACTTTATATCTACATAGTACATATCTACATAGTGCATTATATCTACATATAGTGTAAATATAAAGTCAATGCTGGTACTGAACTGTTTATTATCATTTCTAGTAATATTTGAGACAGTGATGATTTTGACAAAATATTCTCTTATTTTAGGGTAATTCTACAAAATAAATTACACTTTGATAATAACACTAGAGTCCTAAAGTTATTTTATAAATATATAATTTAATTTTTCTTATAGATAATTACTTTTGTTAAGATAATATATAGAAAAAACTCACCCCATACATAAACTGGCCAGACTCAAATCTTAGTTGTTATCTTCATTTAATCCATTAGGATACCAAATATACATATAAGGAAGTTCAATCAATCGTACTATATTTTTTGGAACACCAGACTAGCAGGTAACATATACCATTTTGTTAAAATTATAAAATATTACACTCCTAATCACAACGATATTAGATATTATTTATTTATAATATAATTGTGCGAGTAAATTATTTTATAAGCAGTTCAATGATGGGTGAAATTCCCTCATAGGTAATTTACAAGAACATTTTATTTATATCTAACTTCAATTAAATTAATTAACAAAATAGCAGTTCTCGTTGAAGAAAACTTGTTCCGTGGTTCATGGAATCTCCGCCAGAGCTCAGACATGTACAGAACCTCTCGTTTGGTACATAGTGGCAACGTGATGAGGATTTAATCATCCTCCAATGTGCCGATCGACTAAACTAGTCGTCGGTTCGAAATATATTTAAAGAAACTAATGAAATTTTTACTAAATTTTTATGTTTTTACACATACGTTTTAGCATATGAGTCATGAAATAAAATAACACTCAGTACTAATGGAACTAAAGCTTTAAAATACTAGTAATAGCCTATGTCTCCATTCATACTTGGCTTAAAATACCTACACATTTGTATGGTCGCCATTTCAAAGAAAAGTATAAAGTATAATTATAAGTATGTTTTACATCAAGGGGGTAAAAAGGGGGTAGCGGATTTTTATCCCCCTGGAAACACAAAGTTTTCTTTAATGTTTTTTTTAGTGGGTCACAGACAATTAAGGTGGACCGTAAATCACCGGTTAAATACCTCCGCCGCAGCAAACCAGCAGACTAAGCGAATTTCCATTCGCCTGATTTGATGTTCAATTAAATCTATTCAAATAACATTAGGTTTACCGAACACCTAGGTTTTCTGCCTACAGGGAGGGTAATAAAGTGTGTGTGTGTGTTTTTTTTCTTGTAAAATATTAATAGCTTAGTACTGTATATGGATTTACCAAGTTTGATCCAAATATATCCATAAACAAGCAAACTACTACAGTTTTTATAGGACTAACATGGGTATTTTTAATTTACAATATTCTCCGTATATACAAAATTATTCCTTTTTTGAGCTCTACAAGATGGTTTGGAAATAAATTATGAAATTTTGTATTTTTATGGTCAAAAATGGGAAAATATATTTGTACCCCATTAAACCCCTTTAAACTCCCGTTCCCAAGGTCCGATCATGCTGGTTCGCGAACTCGTTCGAATAAACGTAGTTTTACACGTTTGTACCAAATTTAATCAAAATCGGATCTTTTTTGCTCTAGTTATCGTCCTAACGGTCCCACACATATATGTGGATTTGACCGGATGGTGTTTTGGCTTCTAGGGACATCAAAATTAAAACGAAATCGGTCCCGGGTCCAACTCTTACCATGAGACCTACGGTAATAGCATTGACTATAAATCCTTAAGGATTTATAGTCAATGGTAATAGCATGTAATAGCTTATTCCCTATATGGGAAATTCGCTAAAAGTTACATCATATCATTATAGGCTTTTAAAATGAAATAAAACACGTACTGTATTATTTATGTTAAAGGAGAGCATAATTTTATTTTAATTTTATGCCTCTTAGGACTATAATATCTGCATTCCAATGTTGCAACGATCTGCGTTGCCGACAATAGTCTACAGAAATTGCCACTAGGTATCGTTGTAATGCGTATTGCACAGAACTGCATTCTAGTGGAGAAATTGTGTACAATGTTGCACCGTTGTTAGTGCGTTTGATAAGTCAAATCTCAGAGTAATAAAACAAAATTTTGTTTTATTACTCTGAGGTCAAATATAGTATATTTATTATTTATTTTTTGTGTGTGAAGGTATAGTATTTATAGTATTTGTATGTAACGTTAGTTAAATTATAATGTTTCTGCTATTTACGATTATAATAAGCGATCGACTTATATGTTGAATAATGTCAGGATTTATAAAGATGTAGGCCTACTGCATTTGTTTTTCTTATTGTAGGCCTATACCAAACTTTAATAGCTCGTTAACGTGATAAAAAATTGAAAGGTAAACTGAACAAGAGTATATTAATAAGAGTCCTGGACCTCCAAACGATCAAATATCTATATCAATATCAAATATCTCAACTACTACTAGAATCGATCACTGTAAATTCTTTGTTTATGTTTAAAAATGTCATATGTAATCTCTAAATTTCTTGCTTCAACAAAATGCAAATAGAAACGCTTTCTGTTTGAATAATTTATTAATCTAAATAACTTAAATCCATTAGCTATATTACTGGAATTACTGTATGACAGATGGCCTGAAAACTTTATCTTTAAAATAATTCATATCTCTTAAAATAATTAGAATGGTTCGCGGCTATTTTAATTTATAATTAAAAAAAAAACGTCTAAATTCCAAAAACATTAAATAAATCAAAAAAATGTATGGCTTTACATTGACTTTGGGACAGTTACATTGGTATGTATTGATGAAAACTTCAAAAATGTATTTTATTAGAATTATGGTTCATTTTTCACAATTATAGAACATTTGAATCAATTAATCATTTAACAGTGATTAAAAAAAAACTCAATGAAAATAACCATTCTATTATCTAATGGCAAGAATATCTGGGAAAATACTTTTCCCGTTTGTTTTTGTTTCTCTATTTATTATATTTCGAGATCCATCGAAAGGATTTAATTGAAAATTGGTTTTAGGGGGGTTGGCTTTAAAAGTTTGATCGGAAAAATCAAAAGCCATTACTACAGAAAAACTCGTACGATATTTTAAAACGTTTTATTAGCTCACTCTCTTGTCCGGACTAAATTCCCGATGAGCTAGAGACTTACTTAACCCTTTCGACTCTAATTTTAAAAAGTTATAATAAAAAGTGTTTTTGATTTTAAATGATTGTTGTATACCTTAAACGAAAATAAAAAGTCATGTGGAAAGTTTTAGCATAGGCCTAGGGCTTATAGGGTGTCATGTCGGTTAAGGATTATACTTCGAAAATGTAAACAAATAAATTAAAACATTATTGATAGGAGGGAGAAGGATGATTATTTGATTTGTGAAGTAAAGAGAACTTTTAACTTTGTGTTTAACTTCACGTTCCGCAAGTAAACTCCTTAAATTTTTTAGTGACCCTGAATTTAATTTAAATAATTGCTCTATGTAATAGATTAACCTTCCTAATTTTTTTAAACACATAGCAACGCATGTATGAGAGGGGGGAAAAGGAAAATTAAGTAGGTTAGGTTACATAGGGTATTAGCATAGATAAAAAGAGTATAGATAGACAAAGAGTAAAGATTATGTCTATACTCCTTTTATCTATGGTATTAGGTAAATGTGGATGTTAGGGTCTCTTAAAACCTTTTTTTCTATTACACATTTTAAACTTATAAAAACTCAAACGATTAATTACAAAAATTAAACTGTCCATAAAGTGATAACACATGTAAAAAGTGTGTGCCAAAGAAATTGAAGTGCTTTACAAACAATATTTTATCTACACTACATACTTCGTAAACAAAATACGTCCCACTATCATCTGAACAGACTGTACAGAGGGTGCGAACGCATGCTCGAAGGGGAGCGTGCTTTGTCCGTGAGAGAGACAGGGATGGAGATACCCCATCGCCATGAGAGGGAGAGAGACAGAGTGACCGATGGTGGGGGGAGGTGCCCCTAGCCCAAGCCCATAGCACATTCGCGGGAAGCCCTTCACAGCCGGAGCTTCGGCATTTTGAAGGTGCAATATTTCATTGTTTACTGTGTTTTTAAAATGGTACGCGGCGGTGAGGTGTGTTAAGTTAGTGTTGTGTTGTGTTTTCGAGACCCGACGTTAAAGTTGGTAAGTTTTATTGTGTTGCTTTTGTTTCAATACAAAAAAGGGTTTTAATTTTTAAATACCAATTACTTCAGGTAGATTCACATTTGTGTTCCTTTATCCGCGCTATTCCTCATATCTAGTTCTCGAGCTAGAATAAAGACTCCAACGTAACACCTGAAGAAGGGGTTAGATTACAGATACAGATCCGAAACGTCGTGAAACCTCAACTATAGTGGTTGGAAATTCACACCACTTACAAACGCACAGAAAAAATCCTGCACATCCCAAAGCCTGTGAAACATTGAAATACCCCTTATTTTACTACCTGCACCCCCCAAAAACGTATCACTATGAAATACCACCAACTTTTTCAAATAACATTATATTGTGCATGTTTGTTCTCTATTTGAAACTGACTCATTTAAAATACCAAAAAAATGCATGCTCATTAAAGAGTGATGCTATATAAAAAAACTGTGGACTGCAAAAATACATTATTTTGTTACTCTAACCGAAAAAAAAAACACAACAAACCATGATAAGTGAACTCTCCTTGCCAGAGGAAAGGCGTTCGTTTATTAGCGATCACAGCGAAAATTAAATTGAACGGCTTCAAGTCAACGTGGATTTTAATTTTTAAATACTGCAAAACTTATAAATCCTAATGAGATAAATCATCATACGATAATATCTACAGCGCGATTACAAGAATAATATCTATCAGTCGGGTGTGTGAAAGAATAGTTAAAAAATAATTATACAATTTACTCTTTCATCAATAAAATCTGTTAGTTGTTTTCAAGACGGAGTTTGAGCTGTTTTTAATTGTTTTTAGCAATGTTAAACCTATACCTAAACCTACTCCGTCAGGTTAATCATCCATGACTCAATCAGCTGAGGATAATTTTGAAGTGTGTTGTGTTGCAACTAAATAACTTTTTATTCATTACCCATTTTTTTGGATAAACTGTGTAAAACGATTTGTTACTGTGAGATATCCACAATACTCTAGGTTAGTAGATTAATATAACAGAAATGAGTTATGGACATTGGCGCTCTCTATGGCTCAGTTTGATTATATATATTTTATTTATTCTTCCTGGCTACAACCTTTGAAATAGTCAATCAATGCTACAACGCTATGCTACAACCCTAAACAAAAAGACGTTGTTGGCCCGAATCCTATACTAATAGCATTGAACATATGTTTTAGCAGTTCCATCTAACCAATGTTAAATAATGTTTATTTTCGGAAAAACGTCATTTGTTGATGTTTATGATCCATACCGGTATTTTTCTAGTAATCGTGCTACAACCTTAACATGGAAATTGAATCTCAGCTTATATAATACTTCTACAAATAGTCAAACTGACTTGACAAAACTCTGCATTTAGCAAAGTTAGATCATAAATCGAAACTCGATGTACAAGTTTTTCAAAATTTCCAAAGATTGTTTGTCTTTAGGTAAACATATTCAGGATGATGCCACCCACCATAAACTTTCCATCTCAACTCTATCTCAACCATAAACCTCTTCAGGCCGGACATAGTTGCTATGGTAACAGTGATTAACATTGACGTAAACGTCAGAAGCCACGTGCGAGACACTGACCATCTGTTTCCTGTTCATGTTTGGACCCTAAATTTAATCAATTATGGCGTCCGTTTAGTTCTACACCGTTGATCACCGGTCTATTTATATTTATTGGGCAAATTATAAGCATTAAATAAACATTCATACTGATGATTGTTGTAAATATCTCAGAGTGTGAATCACACACTTTATCTTCCAGTTATAAACTCCAGTGGCGAGTACAAATTTTATAATTTTCTTGAGTACTCTAATCCCTAGGCATTTACTGAATAAATGCTCGGCTACTTTGAAAACCTCAGTACCTGATAGTATAGCGTTTATGTTAAGGTTAACCAACTTAGGCCCCGTTTATGCACCAAGAGCGGGAGCGGGGCGATAGCGGGCCCGCTCCCGCTATGAATGGAGCTGTAATGCACGAAGAGCGATAGCGGTAGCGGTTGGTTAAAGGAGAATGGAAGGGGGACACATTCTTGCCAACTCAAACTCTGCCAAATAATTAACACAACTATTTGTCCTAAGTGCACGTGCGCGTGGGTCAAGTTGGCAACCCTGGCTTCAGCCGCTCCCGCTCCCGCCGTGCATAAACAGTCCCATTTGACTAAATGTAGTTGAAAACCGCTCTATCCCAAGCAACCGCTGCGCTAGAATAGTAAATGCTTTTAACTAAAAACTAGGAATGTTGACCACTTCATGTCCAGCCAGCTTCTCTACTCTTTATACAATGAGACCTAATTCTCACAGCGTGAACAAGACAGTTTCAAACTTATTTTGAACCGAGCATCTACGTTTGAATTATAAAATTAGCCCCAATGTCATACTTATGCTTCAATATGCCCGATGAGAAGAGTTTTATGTTCATTCAATGAACATTATTCGGCCAAGATCACCCGTACACCAACATATCCAAGGCTACTCTGTAATACGAATACGAGCAAGTTACATGTCGCAACATCTGCCTTCACAATACTTCAACATTAAAATTCATTCCTTGGATGAAAACAGCCAAAGAAACAGCTTTTATGTCAAACAACCATCTGATTGAATTATGCAATGTTCCAAGAACCAGCGTGCGTGCAAGTGAAATGCGTGTTGCAATGAACGTAGCCAGTAGCCAGGTCGATGACGCCCGTGGAGGGGTGGTTTTAGGGGTAGTTGCTATGGGGGGGGGGGGGTAGCGCCGCGACGTCTGGTACAGGTGGGGCGTCACTGGGTAAAACTCTGACTCATTGTGGTGGGCTGTCTATCGATTTTGACTTTCTTGTCAAAAGTTAAACCCCATTGAAACCAAAGTATTTTTGGTATCAAGTGTTGAAATTTAAGAAAATATACTTGACCATCTGCTTGGTTTGTAAGAGAGAATTCAAAATTGAAAACAAATGCCAGAAGCAGTTTAAATTATTTTCATACTAGATTTCATTAAGCCAGTGTTTTATTTTATTTACATAATATGAGTTGCCGAATCTCAAACTTAGCAGAAGCTAAGATACCTCAACGTCCTCCACCATCCCTCTAGTTTACTATATTCTATAATGACAACTCATCGTGTTATTATATATATATATATATATATATATATATATATATATATATATATAGTCAAAACCAAAGTAAAGTTATCATAGAAACTGTGAATATTGTATTCTTGCTGTCTTTGACTTTCCAATTTGCATTGGACATTAAACATTGACGATTTTGTTGAACAAAAGGAGTACGTATACGTAATAATGAGGAGATTTATTTTGTCACAATAAAGCAACCCCTAATGCAATTTTACAGCTCTTTTGTATATTTTACAATTAAACTCGTTTGTATTGAGTAGTTTGCATAAGCTTCTAGAGAACTTGTGTAAGACATTCGCTGAGTGAATGAAACAATATAAATCCAAATCCAGTTATGAAAATTCCACAGAACAAACAATTCAAGGTCCCCACTCGTGACCTTTCCTAACAGTAAATTCATTCAGGGCTTTAAATCAACTTTTTAAGAGGGAGTTCCACATCTGTCGGGGGTTGTGACGCCATTGCTTCGGTAAGCTAACATGCCGACCCGTCTACCGGCACGCCCCTTTATTATAACAATAGTTACTCTATCATTATTCCAGACCGGAAGTGATGTCGGCGGATATCCCACCCCATCACCGGAAGTGGTGTTGTACCGTCACAATGTTTACTCTGGTGCGACCAAGTTACCGAAGCAAAGTTGCGAATTGAAAGCGAAGAGAAACGTTGCCATTGAAGAAATTTCTTGAAGGCCACGAGGAAAGATTTTCCTAAATTTTGTTTGAAACAGCAATGGGTCTGAAGCGAAAGTCTTCATGTACCCAGGACTTGTATAAATCATAACGCACTTTGATTAAAGATTTTATTAAATTACAATCGGCGAATTCCAATAGACTACTTTAGGAGAGCAAAGTCCATCTCCAGCCTTCCATAAACAATCAATAACAAATACTCCTTGGAGTACAAAGAGGAAAGACTTGTTTGTAAAGTGTCATGAATTTCTTAGCTAGCCTATTTAAAGATTCAATGGATGAGATGTTATTAAAACCAGGCCTACTAATTATAGTTGGAGACGCTACTAGGCATGTTCAACGCAAATATGAGCGAAGGATAAAGAATGTGTGTACAGTGGAGTGTTATGATCTGTGTAGCGTTGTTGTTGTTGTTGCAGACTAGGATCAGCTGATCAGCTGTTTGTTTATTCAGGATCATTTATAACAAGGCCAATGATCGATGATAGCTGGGTCCAGATTCAAACTATCGAAAATACATTAGGGTTTTGTTTGTTTTTAAGGGTTTGAAACGTATAAAAGATATTCTGAACATTTTAGAGCATGTTTAAGGTTAGGTTGTCGAAGAAACATTCTTGTTGCCCAGAGGTTCCTCCTGAGTATGTTCTACCGCATCTCAAGTGTTGTCTGGACGCCGGCGCCGTCCACGACTCCAGATATGGTCAAGTCCAAGGTCCAGTACAGTCCTCGGACACAGGTTGTCTGTGATTCAATTAATCTCGCCGCCAGAGTGCACGATCTTGGGATGTGAATGGGGCCCAGTTTTTGTATAAGCTCGTGCCGGTGACGGGGAGAATGGTACAAGTCCAAGCGTAAGCGGTAGGAAACAGCAAAGAAAACTCTTCGACAAAGATTTGAGCAATTATGAATCTCCGTGTAGAAATAACAATGTTGTGGACATTTTGCAAAACATACGCAACGTTTATGGAATGCAATGCATTTTTGGGAAAGATTGTATATAATACAGTATACAACCAGGGATAAGCTGAGGAAGACAGACATGTCTAGATCAGTCTAATGAAATGATGCAAAAAATAAAAAAGTTGTAAATAGAATTAAAAATTTTCCTCAACACACGGTCATAACCACAAAAAACTTAAGTACTTAAGCAATAAGATGGGATTAAATTCCAGACC